AAAGCTAACCATTGAGCCACTGTGCTGCCCCAGTTAGAACAGCTAGTGATAGGAGGACTCAAGAGCAGAGTGTTGACAGTCTGGAATTGGTTACTACTCAACGACAGGGAAGAAACTGGCTGTTTGTTGAGTATCTGGTAAGTGGTTAAAATCTGTTCTGTTTTCAAGCACAGGAACAGACGGTAGGATTAATAAAATATGTAAAGATTATTAAAGTAACTGATTTAAATAAAATCAAAGATGGCAGGACAGCTGATCCCTCATGGCTGCAATATCTGGGAGTTCCTGGAAGCCAATATAATCCAGGGCAAACACACTTGCACTCTGTTTGAGCATGAAATCTGCAAGATGAATCAGCTAACTGACTATGAGACCAGGGTACAACAGGCTGCTGAAGTGGTGGTGGGTGGAATGGATCAAAAGTCGTGGTCGTAGAGGATTGTATAGTGAATGAGATACTATTCAGGGCAGCAAAGAGCCCAAGACCAGAGGTTGTTGCTACCTTGATACCAAGGTTCAGAACATCTCCAGCTGGACAGGATTCAGTTGTTATGGTCCACGTAGGTACTAACAGAATTGATAGGACAAGGAATGAGGTTCTGCTTGGACAGAATGATAAGTAGAGAACCAAACTGAGCAGAACCTCAAGGTTAATAAACGCTATGGATTAGTACTTGAGCCACATACCAATTGGCAGAGGGCACATAAGACAAGTGAAATGAATACATGCGTGGAAGAGATGTGGTTTCCAGTTAATGAGGTACTGCATCAGTAGAGGTTAAAAAGTGGAAGTTGTACCTTCAAGACAGTCAATCACCTGAGCCATACAGTGTCTGTCAACCCATATTATTAGGGCTTTAAACTGAAGAATAATGGAGGAATCAAGCTTGGGTAGAGTTACCAGACAAAAAGTTGGAATCAACGCAAGACAGTAATATGGGAAGTGAATGTCAGAGAATGGCAGGAATGGATAGAGAAGAAAAATTGTAAAGAACACTTCAACAGTCAAAACTCAATGTTACTTGTGTAACGAACAGATAACAAAAAATCCAAGGAATAAGATAAGACTCTAACTAAATGCTGCTAATATTTATAACAAAGTAACTGATAGCACACATTGAAAAAAGTAATATGATCTGATAGCCATTACAGAGACTTGGCTGCATGGCAAGGATTGGGTCCTGAATATTGACAGAATATAAAGTCAAAAAGAATAGCAAGCGAGGTAAAGCTGGAGGAGTATCATTGATAGTGAAGGATAGTGTTGGCGCACTAGCTGGAGATAACCTTGGTTCAGATCAGGATTTACACAATCTGTTTGTGTGGAGATGAGGACAGTTAAGGGAAAGAAGTTGTGAGGAGTGGTGGTCTTCATTCCCACTGAGTGACCATAATGTGCTTTGTAGAATATTAAAATAAATATTGGGTGTTTGTGATAAAGAGACTACAAATACCACGGGGGTGTCTTTAATTACATATCATCTGGAAAAAAAATCATAAGGTCAATGGCAGCTTTGATAAGGAGTTCATAGAATCCTTTTCAGATAGTTTCTTTAAGGTGCATCTTCTGGAACCAAACAGAAAGCTATGCTAGTCTCGGTATTGTGAAACATTACCAGATTAATTACTGGCCTCAGAATAAACACACCCCCAGGTAGCAGCAATCTCAGAGAATAATGGGACCTTAAACAGATGGGCCAATGAGCTGAGGAGTGGCAGATATAGTTCAATTTAGATAAATGTGAGGTGTTGTATTTTGGCAAGGTAAATCAGGGCAAGACTTGTACACTTAATGGTAGGGTCCTGGGGACTGTTGCCAAACAAACAGACCTTGGGATGCAGGTTCATAGTTCTTTGAAAGTGGAGCCAAAAGTAGACAGGGTAATGAAGGTAACATTTGGTGTGCTTGCCTTTATTGGGCAATGAATTGAATATACGACTTGGGAGGTCATGTTGCGGCTGTACAGGACATTGGTTAGGCCACTTTTGGAATACTGTGTTCAATTTTGGTTGTCCTTCTATAGGAAAGATGTTGTAAATATTTTCTGAACACTTTCAGGTTTAACAAGGATGATGTTAGGATTGGAGGGTTTGAGCTATAGAGAGAAGCTGCATAGGCTGGGGCTATTTTCCCTAGAGCGTCAGAGGCTGAGAGGTGACCTTATAGAGGTTTATAAAATCATGAGGGGCATGGATAGGGTGACTAGCCAAGATCGTTTTTCCCAGGGTAGAGTCGTCCAAACTAGAGGCCATAGGTTTAAGGTGAGAGGGGAAGGATTTACAGGGGACCCAAAGGGCAACTTTTTCATGCAGAGGGTGGTGCAGGAATGAGCTGCCAGAGGAAATGGTGGAAGTTGGTACAATTACAACATTTAAGAACCATCTGGATGGGTAAATGAATAGGAAGGGTTTAAAGAGAAGAGTCAAATGCTGGCAAATGGGACTAGATTAATTTAGGATAATTTAGAATATCTGGTTGGTATGGAAGAGTTGGACTGAAGGGTTTGTTTCTGTGCTGTATAACTAAATAAAGCCATAGCATTGTCAAAGGATCATAGAAAGCAGGAGAGGCTAACCTCATTAGTCTTAAATTGCAAATTGATAATTTTTTACTTAACAAGTACAGTAAAAATTTTTAAGGGGCAACACGCTTGCATTTGAAACAAAAATGAAAAAGTACATTCATCATGATCTCAAAAGGTCGGTGCAAATTCAAGGGGATAAATGGTCAACACCTGTTCTTAAATACTGGTTTGGAATCCCAAGTGTGGAAGCAGGCCATTCAGCCGATTTCGCTCACACCAACCCTCCAAACAGCATGCTACCCAGACCCACCCCCTACCCTATCTCTGCATTTCCCATCCTAGACACTGTTGGGTAAGCTAAATTGCCCATCCACCTAACCTGCACGTCTTTGGACTGTGGGAGTAAACCGGAGCACCTGGAGGAAACCCATGCCGACACAGGGAGAATGTGCAAACTCCACACAGACAGTCGCCCGAGGCTGGAATCGAATCCAGATCTCTGGTGCTGTGACGCAGCAGTGCTAACCACTGAGCCACCGAACCGTTATTTAAGTTAACTATAGTGAAACTCACAAAAAACAAAGAGAAGTATTCAAATATCATAAAATAGCCTTATTTAATTGTTAGTCAAAGCACAAAAGTGGCCCTCAGCACATGGAATAATTAATTACTAAATATGATTCAAATGTAAAACATAACAAAGAGGCATTATTGTTCTTCATGTTTTAAATATTATGTCCTAATTTAGAAAATAAAAATGGAACATAGCTCAGTTTCTCAAAAACATTCAAAGTTGACATTCAGACTCTGACCTATTTCTTTAAAAAAACCCTTCATGATTGTGTACTGCCAAACCACTTCCTGGCAGAATGCACAATTATGACAGCAACATTACTTCCTTGCCTTCTGTAGGTTTACCACAGCCTTTTCTTTCTGCATGATTTTCATTGTCACACATTATTTTGGACAAATCAGAGTTGACCAAAGTAAAATGCGCAACCAGGGCTTGCAGAAAATTTCATTGACTGTAGTTTCACCAGTCATGTTTAAGTCTACATTGTTCAGGATGCAAACATATTTCAAGTACATATTATTTCCTGAGCCATAAGCTCCATTGCTGTACAATTATGAAATGTATATGTTGCCATACAGAAACAAGAGCAATCATTCATTTCTCAAAAAATAATTTCAATAAATTAAGAAATGTGTGTCAATTTCCATCCCCACCACCACACCAAGTTATTAAGGTTCTGAAATTAATGAGAATATTGAATCCAATGTTGTGGCACCCTCTTGAAAGAAGAGATGTTATCAAGCTGAGAAAAAGACAAAATGCTCAGGTTAAATTTGTCTAGTAATTTATGCAAAATAATGTGAGAACACTGAGAAACTTAGGGGAGATTTAAATTATTTAAATGAGATGGACTGCATAATCTTTCCCAGATGTATTGCTTCTTTGTTCTCCAGAACTAAATCTTAATTAAAGACAAGTTTTGTCTGAGTGCAAATTAGTTTCGATTTAGTCCATACGATGGGAATGCTTACTTAATACACAACAGCAACTTCAATTTCAATTTCCTTTCAAATCAGATAAAACGGAATGCTTTTTTTGGGGAGGTAGGCCTGGGAAAAGAATAAATTTATGTCTTCATGTAAGCATGTGCATAAAAATGTCTGTGGAGAAAATAATGCATGATTAGATCATGGCAAACAAGATCCGTTCACAGCAGCAGCTGCCTTTTTTAAACGCAAAAGGAACTGATGCACACTCTGTACAGCATTCAAGACAATCTTAACGCAGCACATTTTGATCTTCTCAAAGAAATTACAACAAAATCTTTGAGGTGAATATAACAGATTAAAATTTATTTCACAAACTAAAATACTATTGCTCTATTGGAAAGGCCCAATACAATGGATGGATGGCACAATGGTTAGCACTGCTGCCTCACAGCATCAGGACGTAGTTTCAATTACAGCACTGGGTGACTGTCTGTGTCGAGTTGCACTTTCTGCCCACGTCTGCACTGGTTTCCGCCAGGTGCTCCAGTTCCCTCCTACAGTCCAGAAGCAGGTTAGGTGGACTGGCATGTCAAATTCTCCAGAGTGTCCAGGAATGTGTAGGGTAGGTGGATTAGCTATAGTGATTACAGGATAGGATGGGGGGGTTGTGTTTGAATGGGATGCTCTTCAGAGGATTGGTTCAGACTTGTTGGACTGAATGGCCTCTTTATGCACTGTAGGGATTCTATGATTACAGCAATTCTAGTTCAAAACTTTTATACTCTATTCAGAATATCAAGGAAGGGTACATTGGTTGCTTAAATAAAAACTATGCTCTAAAAATACAGTTATAGCAGGGAATTTCACTTGCTTATTCTTAATTACACTACAGTTTAGATAAATGCTATTAAATATTCAATTTGAATTTAAAAGTGTGCACAATTTTTTAAGTAATAGGAAGGCTAATGTTACCTTTTTCTTCATTCCTTGAAGAAATAGAGTCAGTTTTGTCTGGAAGGACTTTTTTAAGTTCAAGCTTCTTCTCAGCAGGTGGTGGTTCAGGTTTGGAGGCTGAAAGATGCAACATTTCATCGAAAGTTGTTTACAGCCCCCCCTTCCCCTTCATCAGGCTTCAAAAGTAGCTTCCATCAGTAATTAACAGCTATTTAATTAGTTGTTTTCTTTTCAAAAAGAAAGAGCATTATGATCTGTAAGCAGTTACTTCCTGTGTTTTATCTACATACATAAGTTGGCCAATGGGAAAGAAGGGGCAGGATTTGTAAAGAAGGAATTGAAGTGAGTTATGAACAAGAACTATTTATTTCACTGTGAAGTTCAAACAGTAAATCCAAAAAATTCCATGAACTACAAAATCTGTAATAATAGGCAAACTGCATCTACACTAAACTGATCCTCGTACTCAGCATCAAGAAGTAGTTCATCTTTCCAATCGCTACGCACATAATTTGTTCATATATTTTTGATTTGATTTGAAGATTTTTTTTGGATTAAGATGACCTTTTTGAAGTTCATTCAAATGTTTAATTCAAGCCGATGTAAGACTTCCTATGTTACTGTTCAGTCTTTTTTTTTTTAAAAGTAAATTGGAAACAGTATCTAAAAAGAGAAACCAGCTTGCAGGGTGAAATTTATCCTTGTATAAAAGCCAGGAATCAAAATTGATAATCTTAGTTACCTTTGTAAATGAAAATTTCTTTAATGCTCGCATTTCAAAACACAAATGAAGTAGGTAATTTGTTAGACAGCTGACATTGCTTTCCACATGTAAACCTCCAGGTGTGGGCTCATTATATCAACATTGTCAAATTATGAATCACACTTTAATAGATGGGTGATGAGAACAGTTTAGGAATAAATGCCTGACTTTTATTTTCAATGTCCAAATTATACAACTGTATTGTGCAATTTAGCCATAAGTTTAAATTATAGATAAGATACTGCACTAAGATATATTGAATATACTGAAGTTTCTTTTCAATAGAACGTTTTGGCATTATGAACTAAATATATACTTCCTTTGACTTAAACAAACCATGTGCACAGCTGGTAATCCTATAAGCCTGGTTATTGGAGTGGGCTCAAATCTTCAAGCTCTCCAACTACAGTAGGGTAGGAAGAGGAAAACACTGGTAGCGTCACATAACCACTCTGACAAACCACATCACAGTTGGTCAAGACCATTACCTGTACTGTCTTATTCTCCTTATCAAAAGAACCATGGTGAAGAAAGCAACAGAAGAAAGTGCACCCACTCATTATAGGGGACAAATGAAAGAAAATAACACTGTTTTTCTATTTCGTTTTCAAAATTAAATCCCAGGTTCGAAGCGCAGTATATTGATCCATAAAGAGTGCTGCATTTAGCCTTGGTGGTCAAACAGAGGATAGCAGAAGAATTACTACATATCTATTTAGCCAAAAAAAGAGAAATATTATTGTAACCAGTCTTCAAAATCATCTCTCACATTTCAAAACAGTAGGATCAAATACAGTGGGCTGTACTAGAAGTCATGTCCCAACCACTGGGATCAAGCATCTTCAATACAGGACTCACGTAACAAAAATGATGCAGAATCATGTAACCTCCTGCATGACAAAAAAAAAAAAGCAGCTTTCACCACCTGGCAGATTAATCCAAAGTTGGCCATCAAGAAGGCAACATCACCACAGCTCAAGACGGATTCCCAAAAGGTAAAGCAAAAAGATCACAGGCAAGATTGGAATTACAATCATTGATTGACCAGATCTTGATCGATATGAAACTTCTTCTTTTGGGCAATGTTCGAGGATGGTTAAATATTTTGTGTGAAGAACTGGACAGATCATAGTGGCTCGCAAATCTAGTGCAGAGTGAACAATCATCTTCTGCATGATATAGGTCATGTCTGTCTATGGTGCTGAGTTTAGTTTTGGGAAAAAGGCAAAGATAAAGATTAAAGATTAAAGATCAGAAGAGGAAGCCAGAGAAAACCAACTATGTGGCCATCATCGCAACAAGTGAAGCATTTTAGAATTTCACCTGGGCCATCTAAAGAACCAAGGCCAAATGGATAAGAATCCTTGAGTTACAGGAGGGGGTCTCACTTCCTAAGAATAATAATGCCATTTGTTGACCCTAGAAAACAAAAATTTCCAACAATTGAGAATCCACAGATACATTTGTTACTCTCAAGGCTATTATCTGGTAATCTTTGGTTAAATCCATGGATGAACCATCATAAATAGTCAAGCTGCAACAAGAAACCAAGTGGATGAACAACAATGAGGCCTGTAGCTGAAAACAATCAGTGCCGAGATCTTCAAAAACTGGTGAGCCTTCTTCATATCAAGATGCTATGCATTCATTCCGCAGATTTGGGAAAAGAAATAACTCCCTTTACTCTTTTCGACTTTAGAAATGAGGCAAATTGTATCTTCAAGAAAGATAAATCAAGCTATGAAAATGATGGAGGTATTTCTGTTATCTGTAACAGGAAAATTCCTGGCGCATGTTCTCCTGAATCAAGTTTCCAGCACTGAGGATATTCTGCCAGAGACCAAGTGTGGCTTGAGATCTTCCAGAGGGGAACCGCGACTATGGTCTTTGTTGCTAGAACAATTCAAGAAAAATAACACCACCACCACCATGAACTCTGCACTGCATTCAAAAACCTGAACGATTCATTTGAGTCAATAAGTCACAAGGTTCTGTGGACAGTTCTCTAAATAATTAGGTATTGAAAATACTTCACCACAACCCTGCAACTGCTTCATGAAATACAATTGCAACTGTCAAGTGAGTGAACTGAAAGGGATGCATTTAAACTCCAAGATAACAAGGTGTAGAGCTGGATGAACACAGCAGGCCAAGCAGCATCAGAGGAGCAGGAAAGCTGAAGTTTCGGGCCTAGACCCTTCTTCAGAAAATGAAGAACTCCAGACTGGTGTCAGGAAAGCTATGCACTATTTCCTGTACCATTTACAATCTGGTTGACGATGATGGAAAACTCTAACCTCAGTTGCCTTTGACCCAAAACTAAAATCACCACCATAGACATACAAGTTCCACATCATGCAGAAGATCACTGTTCAATCTGCACAAGCCACAACTGATCTCTTCAACTCCTCACAAAGAAATTCAGCCCTTCCTCAAATATTATCAAAAAATAAGCTTCATGTCAACTAAGATCTGGTCAGTCAATGATTCCAATTCCGATGTATATTGAAACAGAGACTTTGGAATACATTGAGCATCTCCAATACATTTGCAGGCACCTCTCTCAAAAACCCACCATTAATGACTTCATCCAACATGAGATCAGCTGCACCAGCTCAGAGGTCCCAGTGTACAGAGCTGTTGTAAGGCTATTGTGATGCAGTGGTAGTGTCCCTAACTCTGGTCAGAAGGTCTGGTTCAAATCTCATCTGCCCAAAAATATGTCATAACATGCTTGAACAGGTTAATTAAAAACGTCCACATAGCCTTGCTGTTACCACTGTCCTGCACTGTAGCTCACTTTTGTCCCTGATAGAGTAAAATTCCCACAATGCCTTTGCCATATGATCCGGGTACAATGACAGGATCACTTAACAAGTGCTAGCTTGCTTCTTGAAGCCAGCTTTACAGCCATTCCGGCAAAATTCCTGCAAAACCAACTATCATGGACTAGGTATTGTTTCCAGTTGGCTGAAAAGTTGCCCTCTAATCAGATTCTGTTCTCTCAACTCTCAAATGGTCTATGTTCCAGTGAGTGGCAAAGACAACACTTAAAAGATGCCTTGAAAGTCTCCTTGAAGTGTGGTGAATGACTGGGAGGAGCATTACTACTAAAGTCAAAATGATGGCAATTTGAACATCAAGCCAAATCTTGTCTACTGGATTTCTTCAATGCAATGTGCTCATTGTCTTAACAAAGCTCTAATAAAGACTGTTAATTGAAAATATAAGGGTATCAGCCAAGATTGGATTAATAGCAGCCTTCACCTCAGAGGGAAAATGGGTTTTCCATGAGAAAAGTAGGGGTGGGGGTTCCCAAGTTTCAATCAGTATCAACCTATGCTATCATAGATGATCTGAATATTTATTCATCGTTGCTTGAAAGACATGGTTGTGGCTGCCCTGTTTCCAACTGGACAGCAACAAGAATTTCATTGGCCGACAGCTTGGCTGAGAAAAATGTTTGCTTCTTAAATCCTATTGAAGCAGAAATTGCTCTTTTGTTCCTTTTGGCAATCCACCCCCTCCCATTTGCTAATTAATCTAAGACGGAATCAAGTTAACATGCACAATGTGAAAAACACACTATCATACACTGTTACAACAGTGCAATATTTCAATGGACGATGAATAAAGCTTACCTTGGACTTTTGTTGATGGCAGTGGCTTTTTTGGTTTCTATGAACAGAAAAAAGAAATCCAGAGTTTGAATGTTGACAACAGTAATTTTTTCACCGCTGAGAATACGCTGTTCAAATATGCCAAATATTATGCTATCACTTCACCTCTTTGAATTTAGTGGCTATTAGTCTAAATTTGCAAAATACTGCCCATCAGACTTTCACAAAAAAGGTTTTTTTTAGAAAATCATATCTGCTCAGTTTACTATTGGGTTGCAAAAGTAAAAATCTGACACATTCACAAAAGGCTTTAAAAAAGCCTGTTGAAGGCAAAAGACAACTCCAAATGTTTCAATGGGTTTTATTCATCGTGTTAAGTAAATTATAAGACTCTTTTCTCATTGATCACCAATAAATATCAAGGTGTCACGAAACCTTGAACAGCAATGAAGGCTTCCGAATAATGAATAAAACTAAAATAACTACTCTGAACCATTAATTTTGGAATGTAAATTCACTATCTATCTGGCTAATCTAAAGGTATGCAATTCCAGAGTGTAGGAAGACTTTTCCCATATTGTGGTGGTAAAAGTCAAGATAAAACATAGGGTTTGCCAGTACTTTTAGTGCTCGACTTGAAAAGACTTACTTAGCAGGGTGCACAAGAGTCAACAGGCATGTAGAACAATGAATGGATAGATGGCTAGAAAACAAAAGGAATTTGGAAGATTCTGAAAAGAGGAAGTAGAACTCTGGAAAAGTAGTCTACAATTGCTGTTATTTACAATATATAAATTTTTTTGGACTCTACAATTTGCGGTATGAATAGGAAAATATGAAGATGGTAGCAAATTGTGGTGTTTAAATGATAATTGAAAAAGTAACAGCAGGACATTTAAAAAATTTATGGCTTTTGTCCACAGGATTTTCTGAGATAATTCTTTGGGACTGTCAGGACACATTGCTCTCTTCCTTCTCCAGATACTTATAAGAGGCACAGGGCAACTGGTTCATACTGATAATGTCTGACTTGTTGGTTAGAAACCACAGCTTACAACAACTGAAGAGAGGAAATAAACTAACTGACTTTCTTCAGGCTTGAGCTACATTCTTATTCCAGAAAAGAGGACAGCTGCTTCAGAACCATTCACCACTGCTCAGGTACTGAAGCAGTCCATGTTCAATTCCTGCAAGACCTGGATAATATTCAGGCTTGAAGCAAGTTCTGTTTTTGTTTCTGATTTACAGCATCCGCAGTTCATTCGGTTTTTAATATTCAGGCTTGGATTGACAAATAGCAAGCAACATTCAAACCAACAAAAAGCAAGCAAAGACCATTTCCACCAACAGACAATCTAACCATTGTTCTACGACATTCAATGGCATTATTATTGCTGAATTCCCTCACCAAGCAACATCCTGGGAGGTTATCACTGACCGGTAACTGAACTGGACTAGCCATGTAAATACAGAGGCTACCAGAGCAGGTCAGAGGCTAGGAATTCTGCAGCAAGGAACTCACTTCTGACTTCCCAAAACTTACCAACGACTAGAAGGCACAGGAGTGTGTGACAGAATATTCCCCACTTGCCTGCATAAGTGCAACTCCAACACCACACGATTAACACCATTTAGGGAAAAGTAGCCTACTTGATTAGCACCACATCACCTTTAACAGTACTTTCCTCCACCACTGATGCACAGCAGAAACATGCGCCATCTACAAGGTGCACTGTAGAAACTGAGTCACACTGCATCTGCCAAAGCCATGGGTTCACCACCATCTGCAAGTTTTCCTCCAAACCACTCACCATCCTGACTTGAAAATATATTGCTGTTCCCTCAATGGTGCTGGGTCAAAATCCTGGAAGTTCCTCCCTAACGGCATTGTGAGTCTGCTGACAGTATATGGACTGCAGCAGTTTAAGACAACAGCTCACTACCACTACTTCAGGACAACTAGGAACAGAGCAATAAATGCTGGTCAGCCAGTGAAGGTGAAGGGCACATTAAAATAACAATTTGGGTAAACCTGTTGGACATGAACCTGTAAGTTTTCCAACATATATATATGGCAGCTGAGAAACGTAGGAGAGTTCCTGACCAGCCAAATAAAAAAAGTTGGAGCCTCTACCATCACAATCCATATCTCCAGGGCTACAACACGCAGGTAAAAAAGTACATTGCCACCTGAACACTTCAGAGATCTTTAATTTTGAGTTGCCCTGCCTTTGGGCAGAAAACTGAAGTAGTAAAGAGCTCTGGAATTGGAAGTAGATCCAAGAAGGTTCACTAGGCTGATTATTGTGTGAATGAGTTGTCCAGTGAGGAAAGGTCAAGCAGGCTGGAGAGTATGAAAGAATGAGAGATGATCTGAATGGAACATGTAACTATGTAGCAGGGTTTTACAGGATAGATATTGAGAGATGTTCCCCTTTGTGGATGAATTGTGGGGGCACAGTTTCAAAGCAAAGGGTCTCCAGTTTAAAATGAATAGGAGGACAAATTTATTCTGAGGCATGTTAATATTTGGAGCTACCCTCCGAGGGCAGGGAAAAATTGGGTCATTGAGTCAAGGGCTAAATTATCTTCTCCCGCTCTTACTACTTAATTCATTTTAACCTCCCTTCTCACGCATTCAATTCCCCTTGCAATTAATCATAACGTTCCATTAATTATACTGATTCCTTTCTGTACCTGCACACTAAACTTCTAGGTTTCATCCAGTAGTACAGCAGATCTCTCTGCATTTCGGAGCTTTGTGACCTCTCACCATTTAGATAATACACTTTAAGCCAAAATGGAAAATTTCCCACTTTCCCAAATTATACTTAATTTGTCAGATCCAAGTCTACTCACGGCCTATCTCTAGCCCTTTTGGCCTCTTCACAACTCACTTTCCTTCCCATCTTTGTGTCATCAGCTTCGTAACTATCATACCTCCAGTCTCTTCATCCAAATCATTTATATAAATTGAAGATTTGAGACCCCAGCACTCAGCCCTGTGGCTCACCACTTGTGATGTCCTGTTAGCCTGAAAAAGACCCACTTATTTCTACACTCCGTTTCCTGTCAGCCAGCCAATCTTCTACCCATGCCTATGTTACTTCCTACACCATGAGCTCTTATTTTCTCCAATAACCTTTGGCAAAGTACTTATTGAATGTCTTCTGAGAATGTGCTTCCAAATCTACCCTGGCTACAACTCTGTGCTCTCTTGTATCAAAAATCTAATCAGCTCAAGCTTAAATAAGTTCAGTCATCACTGATTTCCAGAGAATAGAATTCCATCTACAAATGACACACGGGGGCAGAATTCTCATCTGTTTCGAAACAAAAGAGACCTTGTATTCTTAAACTGTATTCTCTTGTCCTAGTCTCTCCACCCACCACCCCCAAGATTGAGTGGTTATATTAACCACAGCATCAAGTTGAATTATGAGGGATACAAAGTGTAAATAACTGAGATCCATTTCCAGAGGAGGAGAATGAAAAAAACTGGGAGGTAACAATGAAAAAAATATTATTATTTATCTATTTTCTGCCACTCTGATGGTGAATGTTGATACAGAGCCAAAAGATTAAGATTATAAAGATTGCCTCAGATGGAGAAGAACCACAAAACCAATTGGTGTTAGCTTTCCCAAATACCCATCTAATCATCTTTATGCAAATAGATATTTGATCAAAACTCTTTTGCTCTGTGGAGCATTTCTGTGCAATAAAAGTCTACATTTGCCCATATAATAACGGCACATTCTCAAAGTTATGCATTGGTGTAAATCATACCAGTGAAAGCACTTTCACTCATTATCCAGTTGTCAATGATTAAATTTATCCATGACAACTCTGAACTTCATGTTCCTGCTACTCACAACACTGAACTTAATCACAGCCCACTTCTGTGCAACAGATATCCAACTCAAAGCAAATTGCAAACCTTTAGTAGTTACCATACTATTGTGTCTATAGTGGAAAATAAACATCCTGACAATGGTGATTCTGAAAAATAAATCTCATCTTTTTAACTGGATAAGTAGCTACTGGTAGATATAGATTTCTGATGATACAGGTGGCTCGGTCTTGTGGTAACAAAGAGAAACTTCAAGACGACCAGGAGTAAGACAGGGGCATGTTTTGTTTACATAAGTTTTTCTTTATCCTTAGCCAAAAATGTTCACTTATCATGCAATGTATCACTTTGCTAATTGAAGAACCCGAAATAGTCTTCCACACAAACTCTTTGCTTGAAACTTACAATCATAAATATCAGATAATTTTGTTTTTTAAAAAAGCACCATTTGATTTAATGTATTTCATTTATACTTTTTGCTTGGTTTCTCCTCAATTTGCAATTGTGTGGGTCAGAACCAAATATTCCTTCTAAGTTGCATGACTGACAAGCAGCTCAATAGCTCTTGAACAGGCCATGCACATGCCAGCCCCACTAAATTACTATATGCATATTTGTGTTGTATAATTGTAAAGATATAAAAAGGAGCTGCACACTGAAACAAGATCACTCAAGTATTCCAATGAAAACAATTAGGGAACAGAATAATTTCTTTAAAATCATTACATTTCTGAATGCAAATCAAGAACAGTGCGCAATTTTTCATGATCAGTAGAAGAAACCTCCAGATAATACTCGATCGCTCGATGCAAATTGCCCCGTACTACAGTAAAATTCGACATAGATCTTCTTCCCTTTCTTTTGGAGGAAAGGAAATCAAATAACACCAACCCCCAAACTCTGCACATCACACTGTCTCCTGAGATCAGGATACAAAATACTTAGAAAAGATTCTATAGGTGTGAGGCTGGAAAAGCACAACAGGTCAGACAACATCTAAACAGCAAGTAAGTCAACCCTTCATCCCTGAAACATTGACTTACCTGCTCCTCAGATGTTGTCTGACCTGCTGTATTTTTCTAGCCTCACACCCATAAACTCTGGCTTCCAGCATCAGCAGTCCTTATTGTCTCCATTTCCAAAAGATTATTCATTTTAGAATAAAGTTGCTGTGTCTTTTTAACATTTTGATGTGTAACTGCATGCAGTTCATTTGGAACACCCTTGGGTAACATACTACAGGCTATTATACTAAAGTCATATAGAAACATTCAACAATTGAGCAATTGTTTGTTCCCTCAGGTAACTTACATCATCAAGCTCTGGTTTTGGAGGTAATTTTACTGAAGGTTTGGGAGCAGCAATAACCTGTATAAAAAGAGTCTCAAGTTTTTATTTCAGTATTAATTGTGAAATAATACTGTGCAGGAAATTGGTGTAATAATTCTTTTTCCAAAAAGAACAAGTTGAAAAAAAACGGTAAAATTATCAATCTACAGCTATCCTTGCAAATAAAGGAAGTCAGAAATAAGCTTTGTTTATTTAACTTTCATAGCAAATGTAAAACACCCAAATTAGATGATGATTTATTTCCTTTAGGATCAAACAAGTGACTACCGTAACACACAAAATAGCCAGAAAATTATTGGAAGCAACTACTATCATGATTCTGCCAGTTGCTATTACAGGTCCTAAAATGAAATCTGGCTTGATAGGTCATATTTTGTTTTGTTTTTACTTAAGGTGGTGACCTTTCTGAAACAGCGTTGCAGATTTGTTTTTTTTAAACCAATTAAACAGAAATTTATTACTCAAAAGAAATGAAGATAAACCAGAATAAACCAAACCATTGATGCAGAACATGATTTCAAAACACCAGATAAAATACAATCCCTTCTCCTCCAAGACCAGAGAGAGGTTGCTTCTCTATCACATCAAAAGATTTAACCAAACTCTATCTTTCGATTCCTGGCCTTAAGTTTGACAGCTTCTACCTTGATGAATCACACAAGTAAGCTTAGACCTTTTCAACATCCAAATAATTCCTTCAGAATTCTAACCCAACATTTCTGGTTTGGAACTTTCCAAGCTGAATCCTTACACTAAGAGAATCTATTTCTTAACAGTTCTAAATTTTCTCTTCTCTTCAGGAGAAACTGTTTCATACATCTAACTTCCAACAGGAACCCTGCCATCACAAAAACAAAGCTTTCACAGCTATGGGTTTTTATCCCATTCACTAAAAAATCCTCCAAACAGAAAGCAAGCTAATGTTCCTAGGAGTTGACTCTGTCCACTCCTAAAATTCTCCGATGCAATTAAACTCCAAATGCCTACCCCAAGGGCTCTTCCTTTCATAACGTATTCACAAAAATCATGGCTCCAAAAGCATAAGTTGGTCATTAAACCACGAAAGCACTTAAAATGCAAACTCTGAAATTAAAAAAAAGTACATACAAATCACAACCTTGAGTTACACTATTTTTCCTCCAGTACCTTTGTTCCACCATTTACTCCAAACCCTCAGGTGACCATGTTTGCTAACCACTTGCTTGAAGAACTACAAATTGTATTTATTTCTGTTTTCTAATTAAAAGCTCAGCACTCAAAAGAAAATTCCTGCTTCAGCACTATCCAGGGAAACTTAGCACGTGCAACAAATATTAACAGAAGAGTCTCTAGAATCTATGTAGTATCTAACCTGTGTTCCTGTCTACTTTACCCTTGTTTTCTCCTCCCTGCTCCAATCACTCCCTTACACAATACTGGTGTTCCCTTAGTTTACCTTTCCCTGACTTTATATGGTTCAAAGTTCTCAACACAGTTTACTATTTGTCTTTCAAATTACCACTCTGGTTCACAATTCTTCCTCCTGATACCACCATTAAAAAAAAAGCGCACACTATATGGGAAAGGTCTTTGTCATTTGCTCTGGAGCTCTAATGAATTATAGCTCAGAATGTCACTAGGGTTAGAAAACGGATTGTACAACATGAATAAAAAATGTCAAAGTAGTTAAATGAATCAAAATATTCTAGGAGATGCCATGACAAAAAAGCCTAACAGTAAACTAAGCTCCTTTTTAATGCCATACAACAATGTGAGGACAGAAGGCTCTGCCTGAACTTCTCACATCAGTGTACCTACCTCTCTTTCAGTTTCTGCAATTACAACCACAAAATTGTCAGGGAAGACCCCTTGCTTGCCATTTAGTTCTCCTTTCCACCATCCCTTATCCCCTGTATCCTAGAAACGTAAAAATCAGACAACCTTCAATGCGCAAAACAAATTTGACAAGTTGCATTGTTATTAAACTTTTATTAAAAATAAAAGCTCCTGTTACTAGGTATTAATCTTTGAGATCAGTTAACAGAAACCAAATCTAAAAGCAATTAAAAAGGCTTTTAATGTCCATTTTCAATAACTCACCAGGCTTATGTATGTTAATTTTTAAAAATGTGTTATTTTCTACATTATCCATCATGGAAGCCAAATGGATATTCCCCATAAAAAGTTAGAAGTAAAGAAATACAGTCTCCAAAATGAATTATTTTGATATAGGCGATTAGTTGACAAGCAGTACAGAAGGTGAAGTGGAGCCCAGGTTGTTTAATGTGGAAAGTGCAGGATATTCACTACTGTCAACAATACCAGAGCAAATATGTTGATGGGGGATAGACTGTTAGTTTGCAAGTTCCAAGGAGATGTTCCATTTGTCAGGTTTTGTAAATAGTTATATTTTCATCTAATTGACTTAATTACAAAGGAGAATGGAGTTGCAGGTTGAGAGAATAGCTGCAGTACAAAGAATGGGAGCGTCTTCCTGCTGTTGTACAAGATGCTGGTGAGACTAAAACTGGAGTAGCATGAGAAGTTTTGGTCTCCTTATTTAAGCAAAAACATTATTTCACGGAGATAGTCAGAACATTCACTAGGGTGATCCCTGGTATGGAGTGCAAAGGCTAAATAGGTTGGGAGTTTAGAAGAGGAGGCTTGACAGGGTAAACGCTGAGAGGATGGTTCCCTCATGGGAGAGTCTAAGATTAGATGGCATAGTCTCAGAATTAAGGGGTGCTAATTTAAGACTGAGAATGGGAGGAATTTCTTCTGAGGGTTCAATGTCTTTGGAACTTCTTTCCATAGAGAGCAACAGGGTCAGAGTCCTTGTGTATATATAAGGCTGAGACAGATAGATTCCTGATCAGATGGGGGAAATCAAGAATTATGGGGACAACAGAGGAAAACGAGGAGCAATCAGCCATGGGTAGTAGGAACTGCAGATGCTGGAGAATCCGAGACAACAAGGTGCAGGGCTGGATGAACACAGCAGGCCAAGCAGCATCATAGGAGCAGAGAGGCTGACGTTTCGGGCCTAGACCCTTCAAGGGTCTAGGCCCGAAAC